GTAGTGTGTTATACTTGTGAATAGTTTCTCCCTCTATTTCACGAGTTTCTCCCTCTATTTCTCCTTCCTTATTCTCCTGTCCAAGAAAATCAGTAAAAGTTACTCTTTTCCCATTTCCCTGATGTCTCATCTGAAATATCAGCATTTGGATGCCACTTATGGGCAGTCTGCCACATCAAGTTAGGCCTAGGTAGAGGCCACACTGGTCAAACTGCACATTAACCTATCTCTATTCAAATATCATTAAAGGGGGGGGGGACACTTTGGCCTGCAGAGTAGGAAAGACTAAAACCTTGTTGATTTATGTTATGTTCCTTATCTGAATCAGGCCCCTATGCTTGATAATTAATTGGGGGGGGGATATTGCAGAAATTTTCATGTCTGGTTGTACCATGAGAATGAGTCAGTCAGTCAGTCAATGAGGATGATTCCCTCAGGGATCTTAGCAATGTAAATGTCTCTATATACATCCTGTCTGTCATAATGACAGGCATATCATAGCTTTTACATAATTAAGGGTACCATATTCATTCCATCTGTTATGTTGCACCATAGTTCTGTAATCAAAAAAGTAACACATAAGATGGATAAAATCAGTGGTAACTGTAGGATATAGCACTGATCAGAGCCTTGTGTCTGATAAAGAAAAATGCTATTCTTCATGTCTTCTCTTCTTTCTGCATGTTGTTTGTGAGCTAATTGTTCTTATGGTTGCTTTTTAAATATATATTGCAGGTGACAATGCATGCCGTGTTAATAATGGAGGCTGCAGCACTCTCTGCTTAGCTGTTCCCGGAGGCAGAGTGTGTGCTTGTGCTGATAATCAACATTTGGAAGAAAACAGTACAACCTGCATGAGTATGATCTTTCTAAAGAGTATTTGAGTTTGCACTAGTGCTGCAGGAATTATTGAGAAAAGGGGGGGGGGATACTGTGCAGTAGGCAGGGCTCCTTGTATTCATGAATTTGCATAAGTACAGAAGACTGTAGATGCCAGAAATTGTTGAGGTATGAGGCAAATAGTGATTTAAGTAAAAGTGTCAAAGTATTATACTAGAAGGGTTCTTCCTGACATTTTGGTTTTCTACGTGTGTGGAGGTTTATTTTTAATGTGGAAGACTGTTCAGTGATCTGATCCATAACATGTGTCCTTATATGGCTGCTTGAGCCTTAGACTCAGCTAGAATGAAACAAGAGCATTTCAGCTGAGAGGTTGTTTTTTTTTTGGGGGGGGGTTTTAATTTGAGGCTGCACTGTGGTAAACATCTTGATTCTTTGCAGCTGGCCAATCTATATTGACAATAGTATCTTCCATGAGCCAAGACACATCCTGCTGATTGTGTGTGTACTTGTTTAGAAGCAAATCTGGGAGGGTTCTACCCATTTGCCTAACCCTCTGAGTGATTTACATCATTAGATCACATTAGGGTATATGGTAGTTTTAAGCTTTATACTAGAGGAATCCACTTTTACTATCCTTTAGCAACATATTGCAAAGAAAGTCTGTCATGGGAGTGGAGGGTTCAGTGGAAACTGACTGCTCTGATGGCCATTGGACAAGGCTGGAATGGGAATAGTTAAATATGTCAATCGTGCATATAAGAATCTGTAGAATGCTCCATATGGAATTATATAAACAAGGAAATCTTAAAGAGAGCAGAATGTTCTTAAAAGCTGCAGTTAAAAATGATTCCATGCTTGCATTTAGGCAGCTAATATTGCCTTTTCTTTTATATCTTTGTCACTTTAGTGAATGCCGGAGAGCCGGTGTCCAAGTTATGCAAGCCAGGAGAGTTTCAGTGTAAAAACCAGCGCTGCATCCAAGACCGCTGGCGTTGTGATGGAGAAGATGATTGCCTTGATGGCTCTGATGAGCATTCAGAGATTTGCTGTATGTATCTGGGCAAAGTGTAGTCCATGTTTTCTTATATTAAAACTCATTAACATGAGCGTGTTAACGTACACTCAAATATATGCATCCAAGGGGAATAAAAACGAAACTCTGGTTGTCTAATCATGTATTTAAATCATCCAGTTTGTCCTCAGTCTACTTAATGCAGGCAACCCCAATGCCACGTTTGTGATGAATGGCAGCACACTGAGTCCGTTGCATGCTGGGTGGATACTGCTTCATAACACCATTCATGCTAATGATCTTCACACTCTAAGCTGCTGCTTTTCTTCCTGGGATGTTAATGTCCTTTGCCCATGCTTGGTTGCTGGGCTAGGAGGCATACTCTGCTTGCAAAAAAATAAGGAGAATCAATTTAAATACCCTGAAGACAGAATTAGTGTGCAGAAGGTTGATAAACACTTCATTGCTTCTTGGCAGTGGTGTCTTGAAGGGTGTCCAAAAAACGAGACAAGAAACTGTACAGCTTTTGCTGCCTCAGTTATGTTGTAGAAAGGGACATAAGGGAACTGAAATACAAGCAAACGAGTATTATGTTCTTCATGTCTGCCACAACTTTACTACTTAAAAACCATTGTAAGAAATCCTTGTTCTTAGGTATCTGGGAATGAGAGCAACTGTCAGCAACACTGTCCATCATGCCTGCTTCTGTGAGAATCTTAAAGTGGTACCACAAATATTTTAACAGATTATTGCAACACATAATCTAATAGAGGAGAAATACTCTTGGGCCAAATTCATAGACATTCAAAGAGAAACCAAGAGGTTTCCCCCCCATAACCTGTAGATTGCCTTCATATACGACACACACATGAACAGTGGCACAAGAACCACTTACCTGTGGTGCAGTCCTTTTATTAATTGTATTTATCTATGTATTAAGATATTTTTATCTCTCCTTTCCTCTTGGCTCAAGGCGGCTTACAGGAAATAATTAAAATCTTACAGATTAAAAACCAGCTAAAACAAAAACTTACCCTCCATAATGCCTGCCACTCAAAATCCATCAAAAGTGGTGGTGGTGGTGAAACCCAACCCTTGCAGCACCTCCTAAAGATCTCCTACAAAGGAATGCCCCTCACCTCTTCAGAAAGAGCATTCCTAAAAGTGTGAGCCATGAAGGCCAGGACTCTGGTTAATGCCAGGCAGGACACTCGAAAGGGAGAGAAACAGGCCGCATGTGGAAGCATGAAGACCAGAGTTGACACATGGGGACATATGGGAAGAGACAGTTCTTCAGATCTGTGGATCCCAGGCCAGAAAATACTTTAGAGGTCATAACCAGTACCTTATCTATTAAAGTAGGAAATACACTGGCAACCAATGTAGCTGTTTCAAAATAGGTAAGATCAGGGGTCATTTCATAGAAAAAG